TTCCAATTTTCTTTTCAGGATTACATAGATTAAGGTTTCATCTTTCAATTGGTATATGAGTTATTTATTTTGGACGAATTTTTAGCACGGTATTTTTATTTTATTTCGTTAGCGTAATAGTTCGTACTTTGGTCTCATTGCGCCTAGATTGCATTGAAATTTTTCAAATTCTAAGTAAGGAAAATGTATAAAACTATATATCTTTCGACTCTATGGTCTTTGCTTGTCTATATGTGTCACTCACTGAAACCCCAGACGAATGTTTTCCTTGAGTGGGTTGCTGTACAGTCTGCTGACACAATGAAGTAGTCAGACAAGAGGGTCCTTTTTTCTTTGAACCAAATGCAACCTAAGAAAACAAACTTGCGAATGATACAGAAGTCTATGATGTCATAACACTTTCTTCTCTCAGTCGCGCCATAACCATGGCCTCTACAAGTAGGAAAGTTTTACAGGACGATGAACTAGATGAGCTCCTTGCTCACGACTTGGAAGTTATCGAGTTCGAATATTCTAATAGTAGTGAAAACAGTGATAATGAAATTGAAGATCAGGCTGTAGTTGATGCTATCCAAGATCATAGTATTGAAGATGACGACGAAATATTGGCAAGGGTTCAAGTGGCGGATTCAGACGAGAGTTATTTTTGGCAAAAAAGTACCACTTCATAAGTGGTACATGAAACTCTTCAGACGCCTTTTGAATGCGACAGTGGTAAATGCCATGATAATTTATAACAAGAATCAGGAAAGACTGACAGACCACTTAGCATTCAGAGTAAATCTGGTAGAAGGGTTGCTGTTGAAGTTTACGGACCAGGAGCAGGCAGCACGTAGAGTACAAGGTCGACGTCATTCATCAGATAACACCATCCCCCGGCTTCGTGAAAGACATTTTATTAGTAGAATTCCCCCATCAGTAAAAAAGGCTAGACCACAAAGGCGATGTGTACTGTGTACAAAAAATAAAAGAAGAAAAGAAACCGTGTACTGGTGCAGTGATTGTGATGTTGGGCTATGTATTGAGCAGTGTTTTCAGGATTACCACACCAAACTCAACTTTTAGCAGTTCGAGTGAGTAACAAAATTTTATTTATCATAATTATATTAAAAGATATATATAGCTTTGTTCTTCGTTTCATTATGAATATTTCTGTGAAAATTTTATCTCAATTGACCTATTTTTGCGAGAGTTACTAAATTTTTCATGGATAAGTGCATTTTTCTGTTTAATAATTAAATACCCCGTCGGTTTGGCGGTAGGAAAAGATTTAAATACTATCCGTCGCGGAAGGGTTAAGACAATCTTATTGATACGTCAAACTGTGAGAATTATGGCACCGAGGATGAGCACTGGTGGTAAGGTGCAAAACCAAGCTACAAGCATGATTTGAAACCATGACCCCCAGTAACCATTTGACTCAAAACTGTCTAATTTAATGGAACCAGTAGCCATGTGTACACTTTTTCAAAATGCTGAAATACCTGGTGAAGCTGCCACTGTGTCTTAGAAGGTCAACAAAAGACACAGCAATTACACCATCTACATTGAGAATGAGGTTCGGTTTCTTCGATGTGGTGATCTTCTCAACCTCTAGAGCATAATTCAAAAGAGGTGTGGCTGGAAAACTCTCCATTACAAATTCCTTAATAATTGTCACCCGCATATCAGGATTGTTGAGCTGCAAAATTATGTATCATTTGTCACATACAATACTGTGTATAGGTTTAAAGCTCACATCACCATCCCTCAATTTTACATAATCATAAATGCTGGCAGATTATGCAGAACTGCTAAACAATAATGGCTGAAGAACATAAATGAAACATCTTACACAAAAATGTACTGAGCTTCAACAAACAAGACAATGTCTTAACACATGCAGCACTCAATTCAACTGGTCTTGTTAGCAGAATTCAACAAACAAATAACAAATATTTGTTACGCAAGATAATAAAAATGTGACTGCATTATATACTCTTACATGGAAATTTACCTATTTATCCAATTAACTGCACATAATGTTAACTGCCAACACTGTATAACAATAACACCAAACATCATAAAAGGAGTCAGAACTCTTGCTTCGTACTTGAAAGATTGTGGTTTGATTCTTGTTCCAGAGACCATCCATCTTGGATTATGTTTTGTTATCCCAAATCTATCCATATAAGTACTGGGATGAAGAGGCCATGATGATTTCCATCCACATCCTCTCAAATTCATCATTCAGTCATCCTACCATTTGATTCCGTATAATCAATGAAACTGATGAAGCATTAAGTAAATTAGGAATCAATATACTGATATCAAAACTGGAATGTACATCTTTCACAAATTGAACTTTGCATTTCACTCTATGGGAAGAACAAAAATCAAGCGAATTTAAAAACAAACTGAAGTGCTGAGTAGAATATCCAGGTCTCAGGCTAAAAAATAACAAGGGAATTGAGAAAATTATGCAAGAAAGAGCTTCATGACTTATAACCTTCAAACTGTATAGCTGTGATGCTTAATTCATGAAAGCTGATACTGAATTAGATGTAGAATGCATGGACAAAACCATTACATACATGTAAAAGAATTGTGGTTGAAAAGCTTCACTTGGGAGATCACTTGGGAAAATAAGTAAATTTGGCAGCTGACAACAGTTGAGCCACAGCTGAGGGGTTGAGCAGGGGACTATGAATGAATGAATTATGAAATGTTACACAGACTTGGTGGCCTACTGTGAACACAGCAACGAACCTTAAGGTTGCTACATATTCCTGCACCAAAGACAAGTTTTTTTTTTCCTATTTTCATGGGTATAAAATGCAGGGCCATCATGAATCTGAGTGTAAAACATGCATCAATGACCTGAAAGTCATGAAGCTTCTCTTCAAGAAAGAGCATATATTAACATCCATGCTATACTGTGTTGCCAGCAGAGCAAATGAGAGACAGAAACATGTTTCAAGGTCAAGAACCTTGTGCTACATTGAGTTTGTCTGAAGTACCACTGAAGCATTAACAAAGGTAAAGTTCTCCTTGTGCTTAATTAATTAAGCATCATGTCATGGAATTGTATCTGGAGTGTAGGTATAGCTCCACCATTCTTGACTTCGGGGCTATATGGAGGTGAGGGATCACTTTCACTCTCATGCTATTTCTCCCCCCCCCCAATGGGAAAGAGTTCCCTGGTATCCACTAGACAGGAGGCTGGGTGGGCACCAGAGCCAGTCTGTATGTAACGGAGAAAATAAAAATTTCTTGCCCTGCTGGAAGTCAAATCCAAACTCCTGGGCCATTCAGCCCGTAGCCAGTTGCTATGCCAACTGAGCTATGTGAGAAATATAGTTAAAGGTCTGGAGCCTTAAGCTTCCATGAACTTTCCTGAACTAGCACCAATGTTATGAGCTGAAAGTGGTAATTAGCCAAGAATATTTATTACAGTGAGGGTAAAGTTGGGAATGGCAAAGACAGTAACAAAATCACTTTATATGGGGGGTCATCTTAGATTCTAAGTCGTTTCTATTCAGGTAAATAGGTAAGGAGGACACAAAAATGGACCACTCTTTGTGAGAATATGAACTGTGGCAGACTTCTGTGTTAATTTGGCAATCCTTTGGTTCCACAAGAACACAAAATTTCTAGATCAGCTAATATTTTTTTCAGTACTCAAGAAGCCTCTGAGAAATGTAATAAAAATCTTTCTTAAATAGAACTATGTTCTTGTAACATTTACTGATGTTTACTTACAGACTTAACTCTATGTCCAATGCCCATGATAAGCTGACCTTTCTGCCTCATTGCATTAACAAATTCCATGGGGTGAAGGCCTGAATCATATGCTTCACTAAATTGTCTGGCTGCACCATCCAAGGCGCCACCAAATCTGTCACCCTTGAAGAAAACAGGAAAGTTTGTACATATATTTAATATGTAAGTAAGCGAGAACCATGAAAAGTCTGTTTAAAATATTTTTATAACAAATACCTTCTTTACTTCAGTCACAGCAGACTACAGATATCCATATTGTTATCAATCAATAGTGTGCAGCCCTTCTTTCAAGCTGAACACTGTCTTATTTATCAGACATGTATGAGAATTACTTTTTCAGTTCCAGATGAGAATTTGGGAAAAAAAAATCCAGAATCGTGACAAGAATGAGAATTTTGTCTAGTTTAAAATTTTCACTGCAATCATTTATAATATCAGCATCTTTTACAATGTGCTACCATACTTACATTAACCCTTTGACGCGGTAATTTAAATTCCGCGGCTGCGTCTCCTGCGGTAATATATTCAGCCGGCCATTTAAATTTTGCTCGAAAATGATTTATTCATCATTGTTCTTAAATTCTATGAGATAGGAACATGAAACTTTCACTAAAATGANCAGATAAAGTCGTGTCTTATTTATACTCTGTTCTACTGACAACAGGCCAGCGAAAAATCTAACAATCTACAGCAAAACCATCAATTATTATGGGCGTTATAACATAGGTGTGCAGCTGAACGAAACATACACGTCGAACCCCCCCAGACGATTTAAATCCCTGACGAAACATACACGACGAACCACGGCAACGGGTTAATGGAAGATGATTGTGAATGTAAGACTCCGTACTAGGAAACTTGTGTCTGTGAATTCTGCTGTGTGATTCCATAACAAGCACTGAGATGAAAATTCCCTTCAATGAAATTTCAGCTAATGCATAATTTTCGCGGAAAAAAATGTTATTGAAGCTTAATGCGATACAACATAGTATGGATATTCACAATTTAAGACACTATCACAAAACTCATTGATGAACATTGGGATGAAAATGTCCATTGAGAAAATTTTGATTGTTGCATAATTTTCGCAGAAAATGTGATTCAATGTGAATCCAATGTGTAACACGGTACAGATATTTGCCCATACTGACCCCACCACGTGACACATTGATTAACTTTGAGACAAAAATGCCCCTTGATAATATTCTGAACAATGCATAATTTCTGCGAGAAACATGATTCAAGTTCCCCATGCAGTGTTGCCCTAAGGCAAGTATCTTCAAGCATATTTTCTGTTGCAAAATTGTGTGTCAAATGAGAGTCCATTGACAGCAGAAATATGGTATTTATTTCTTCCCAAAATTTGCGTTGTAAAACAAGGGGCATGCAAATTCTGCAAAGGTGTAAATTAGGCAAATAAATGTGGTATTAGAATTCCTGTTCAAGTTTTCTTTGTGTACCTTAACTTTTCACTTGTAACGATTAGCTACAACAGTATATCAGCAATAAACACAGGCGAGTTTTAATTTAAAACTNCGACTGCATCCGTTCTGCGGTGGTATGACTCACGGCAAATTGCAGCCGCGGCGCGCACTTGATTGTACGCACTGTATTATATACTTTTAGTTGCTATGTATGGAAAGATCAAGACACATTAGTAAAGAGCAGAATTATATCAAAACATGATTGGAAATGTGTAATCCACTGCACTGCACATACTTTCTAAATGTGTACACTTGTCAGCCTGGATGTCCATTTATCATAGACCTAAAACCTCTGTTACAATGCTGATCATGCCACAGGCATCAGAACTGCTTTGAATTTTACTTTGAATTATAGCATATTGTGACGTGGATGGCGCAAAACTCGGTAAACACTCCCCCTTGGCAGTGACATAACAGCATCAGAGCAACTGCCGCTGCTACAGTAACAGGCCAGTCAACACACCATCCCCTCCCCCGCGGTGACTTAACAGCACTTCCCATAGTGATGTAACAGGGAACACCGTGGTTACTACACAGCAATAAACAACTCTCGGCAGCATTCCCCAGCAATGCCTGTAAACACAGCGTTTATGCAACAGTGAAGAGATATGGGTTTTCTGCTGTCTGACTGAGGGTTTATAAGAGAGTGTGTGATCAGGAGTGCCACAGTGTGGATCGTGAAGTTGCCGAGTGCAGCGGAAGTCGGTCGCAGTCTAGCATTCACTGGGGTGAGTTGAAGTCCATTGTTATTGAATGAATGGAAATGACTACAGGAGAAGTATTTGTGATACTGCAGATGGCAGTATTGGTGTAATTGTGAATTGTGTAATTGTGAGAGCGGGTGGAATAAATTCGCTAGATCCAAAACAGCGTGAAGTTATTTGTCGCATGACCTATTCAACGCGTGACAATATTTTAATGTAATGAAATGTGATTTGAACTTCAAGTGGAGGTAACAACTGTCCAGTACAAACCAGCATCAAATTCACTAGACTCTGGTGAAACACAATACCAATGTCTCTTCAACCTATTCAGTAGTTTTAGAAATGGAACATGCAGATGGACGGACAGATGGAGATTACCTTCCAGCAAATGTGTTTACTTTGTGCAATCTGTGCAGAGAACATTTAATAGCTACTGACTTCATGGCCTAGCTCAACTAAAAGAAGACTTTAATTACACAAAGAGATAATACAGTATTTACGCACGTATAGGCCGTGTGCATGTATAGGCCGCAGCACAATTTTCAGACAGAAATTATAGAAATAATAATTTTCTTGGAATATTATTTCAGGAGTAGAACACCCTGTATTACTAATTATGAATATAATTTTTTTTAAATGAAGTGTGATTTCGAATATTTCGAATATAAGCAGCACCCCAGTTTTCCTCTTGAATTTTTGGCAAAAATGTGCGGCCTATACATTCGTAAATACGGTATATGTTTCAACCAGTAATTTTCAAAATAAATTAAACTTCTTACTTCAACAAATGTCATGAAGTGGGAAGCAGTTTATAAGATGAAACCATTTAAATAAGAAATACTTACAATTGTCAGCAGGCCTGACACAACTGACGATACAAGATCCTTGCCAGCACGTGCACAAACAATAGTGTTGTGTGCACCTGACACAGCTGGTCCATGATCAGCTGTTACCATCAGACACATTTCAAAAAATTTACAAACATAGGGAGGAAGGCAGCGTTGAAACCATAGGAGAGACACTACACCTCCAATTCCAACATCACGCTTCAAGACCTGCAACCAGTGACATAGCAACAATTTTCATTTTCCATATTAGATGTAATCTTTCCAGCTGATTTATGTTCACACATAAATGCTCTTCACTACGTGTGTTTTTAATTATGTTATAATACATTCTGCACTCTACAACCCAGAGAAGTTCAAATAAAAAGGAAATGGACATTTATGTAACTACTTGGGGCATGCGGTAGCATAGTTGGTTGAGGCACTATGCTACAAGCCAGAAGGTCGTGGGATTGAATTCCAATGAGGTCACTGGATTTTTTCAATTTACCTAATCCTTCTAGCCAGACTATGACCCTGGGGAAAGCACATAGATCACTGAAGGTCACAGTGCAAGTGCCAGATTTATGGTTCTCCCCTCATACTCATACTCATGACCCTGGGGTCGACTCAGTCTCAAACAGAAATGAGTATCAGGAATATTCATGGACTGTTCTTAGGGGTAAAGGGCAGCTGGTGCATACGGCTGACAACCTTACCACCACCTATAAGCTGATTGTCTAGACAATGTGGGAACCTCAACATCTCACAACCTTATGGGTCTCCACGGCCTGTTACAGGGATACCTTTACTTTTTTTTACTAACAAGCTAATTCAATGGTTATAAAAGCTAAGGTACAACACAGCTAATACCAAAGGCTATGAAGATATGATTGTGAACTAGTTCCTTCCATCTCCCATCCTCAAAACTAGTTTTCCTATGACACATCTTAATATTGTCATCCTATCTCCTTCTCAGTCTTCCAACTGAACACTTTCAAAGAGATTTCCATCCCAAATTCTGCATATGTTTCTCATCTCCTCATCCAAGCTACATGTCTAGTCAATTGCAACCACCTAGACTTTGTTAACCTAAGAATATAATGGGACCTGTGTAAAACACTAAGTTCCACGTTATACATGTACCACAACTTCCTACCCGGTTTATCCTTCATGAACCACTCTTCAGGTGTGACAGGACAAGAATGATTTTGTAAAGTTTTGCAGGGCCTTCATAATTTGCTTTGTTAGTGTTGTCTGCAAAATGTAAGAATTTCATTATTAGTTTGAGCCTTCCTCTGGATATCACATCACTAAATCATGGAGTTGGCAGAATTATCTTTCTTGAAAAATATATCTGCAGAGTGGGATTTTGAATGATCCCCATTAGCAAAAGAAACCGAGCATAACACAAATTTCATTTTCTGCTACTGTTGTCCATTGCCTTAAAAGGGATTTAAAAGTAAAAAAGCCTCTCTCTAAAATTCATAAATTCATTTCCATAACAATTTTATGAACTGTCTCTCTACTGAAAAATAATAAAAACACAGACATAATATCCTGAACATTTACTGCAGAATTCTGAGGTCCAGAATAACTACAGAATAATAATAAATGTCCATGTTCTCCCAAACAAAGCCACTGTTGCCAAGAGAATGACCTTGGCCTTATTCCTCCACCTTACTATTCCCTTCATCAGTAGCAGCATCAGCTTGTGCAATGTCATCTTCAAAATCATCACTGTCATCACTGCTGTTATTAATATGACATCTGTCTGACTCATTTAGAATATCCAAAACATTCTCTTCATTCAAATGTTTACTTGTGGATGCCATACTTATGATGCGGGATGTTAAACTTACATGAACTGTGTCAACATTACTTTCTGCATATTCCAGAGAAAAACATTTGCATTAAATATCTCAATATGTACCAAAAGAGAAGTCTTTAAATGGTGCTGCAAAGAACTTCGAGGTGGTGCCACAAAAAAAAAAAAGTCTTACAAAAAGACTTGAGAGATATGATGGACTTTCAGAGGAACAAGAAATTGCATTACAATCAGGAACAGAGAACTATTCATACAGCAATCTGAAGCTCTGTGTTTTGTCTGAAAGCATTATCACTTGTCCTCACAAGATGTGTACCATAGGAAAAGGAACAAGAAACACAAAACATAGAGTAGCAAGAAATTTTTTCTCTTGGACATTACATAAACATAATAAAGCAAAACAATATCGCTTCAAAAAGGTATATTATGATACCAACAGCAAGAGCAAAGCTTTATCTACAATACTACATAATTAGATTCAGAGTGAACAGCAGAGACATGCTTATTAGGAAGTGTGATATAGATGCTGCTTAGGTCAGTAATGCTACTGATGTCGGCTGCAGATGGCAAACCAGTAAGTAAGAGATACTGAGGTCGGCGTCAACCAGTTAATGTTCTGTGAAGAATATAACTAGCAAATTAAAATTAACATAAGAAACTTTCAAAAAAGTTGTGCTGTTCATGACAACTATCAAAGAACACTCAACAACGAATAATAATATTTACATAGAAAACATTCAAATGAAGTTGTGCTGTTAATGAAAATTATCAAAGAACAGTTAACAACAAATATTCTCCCTGAAATTATGAATAGAATTCATCTATCATAGACTGCTGTCTATTCTTGCAAAGAACACATGTTGTCAGTCCACCAAATTCTACAAATTCCATGCATACTTCTAACTCTTATTATTTACAGTTGGTACTTCAATAATTTTCCACATTATTAAAGCATTCTTGCAATATTTAGTTGACTTCAATTATGATGAATTTACATATTTTATTTAATGATGTATGTACAGGGAAGGAGACTGCATAATAATGTTTAACAAGATGAAGAACTTACATCACTTATAAGCATTCCAGCATAGTTAAGCTCCTGTCCTCTCTCATCACAAATGCTCGTCATAAATGAGGCTGGTTTACGAATGAGACCCAACTCCTGCACAATATATACATCATACTGTTTAAATATAAATATATACAGTACTGTTTTCAACCTCAATATCACTTACTGAAGTTTCTTATGCAAATAAAAATTTTTGTCCTGATGTACTAGTGAACATATAATGCACTTACTATGGTCACAGCTTTCTTTCAGTATCCATTTATAGCATCATCATCTATTGATATTTCCACCCAGGAAGATTCCTTATACATTGTGCATGAAATGAACACATACAGAGCTGCCCAAATCTATTTATTTGAATGTTTCAACTTGAGAACTGGTGGTCAGATTTGCATTAAATTTGATACTGAAAAAATCTGTGACAAACTGGAGAGTTTCCTCAATTTCCATAATTGTATATGTTCAAAAATAACTTTATATTAAGACCTACATTTGTCTGTGCACATCTTGCTAGATACTCATTGAAGAACAAAATGTTTCAAACAAGCATGCCAGAGAACATTTAAACACACATTTTATGGTATAACAGCATTTTCTGCCTAATTATTGTGATTTCTGACATACCATCAAATGTGGTGACTTTGTGCCATGTCACTTGTATCACAACAGGATGTCATTTTAGAACCTGTACTATTAGCCAGAGCAGAAACAAGTTTTAACTTGTTTCCTGTTCCAGTTAATAGTACAACTAATAAAATGACGTCACATTATGACAAAGGTGACAGGTGACCCATGCTGATGGTAATTAAATCAAGAGAATGTTACAAGTACATTTTAAAACTTCTATAGACAACAATCAACCATGGCCTCTAGAAAAAAAAATCTAGGTATAAAAAAGACAATAGAAGAAAGAAAGAAAAATAGAGGTAATCTTTAATGAATTCAGCCTGCAGTAAAATAAAATATGTTTTCTTCTTTTAATGCAGTGCTCTATTATGATGAAACTCGGAAGTATATACTAAACAATATACGGAGAGTGAGAGTGAGTGACAGAGAGAAACGGGGGGAGAGAGAGAGAGAGAGAGTGTGTGTGTTTTGTGGTGTCAGTACTAGCCACTGGTGAAGAGACACAGCAAGGAGGCAGTCAATGGCCAGGAGGAGATGTGAGAGTCACCAGCCAGCACGGACAGAAGCTGTTGAACCTAAATTGTTGTATGATCTGTTATCAGGTGATGATTAGTGAAGAGTGAGAAGATTAAGCATATGCTACAGCGAACTGTAGGGTGTATGAATTAGCAAGAGTTATAGTTACGTACTTGCAGTTACGATTTGCAGGAGTCAAATAAATTCAATTAACAATCCTAACCCTGTGTCTAGTCACTATCATGTGATAATATAAAATGATCTGTGCTCAAGCTGCAAAGAACATGTGAAAACTCTCTACCTATGCTACCTGCTTCATGCTGGCTTCTCACTTGGCTTATTCTTTTACCCTAAAGATGCAACATCAGTTGACTTTCAGTGGACTACACTGCATTATATCTCAAAAGATAGAATTCTTCATAACCAAATCATAAACAGTTATTCTGTTGAGTCCCTTGGAAATCAAAGAAAGCATGTCTCTGAGCTACTTACCCTAGCCCATGCGTAGTCCATGGGAACTGTGGGAGGTGGCACCTCTGGTTCTGGAATAATGATTCCAGACTGGACTAAGGTATCATACACTTCGTGAATGATGTCACCCAATGAGTCAAATGATTGTGGTACATGTGCACCAGCTTCACTCAGGGCTTTGTTCTTTGCAACAGCCGTCTCCTGATCTGAGTTGGCACATGAACCAGCATGGCCAAACTGAACCTCAGAGGTGAACATCCCTATTAAGAGAGGAGGAAAATATTGTACTTCATGTTTACAAGTTATTCCAACTAGCAATTGAATAAAGGTGTCCAACTATCCATGGAAACATCTTGCCAAATACAATGAAACCTCCACACTATAAAAATTTACAAAATTCCTAAAATTGCTCATTGTGAAAGATACTTGTAATACTGAGAATGGTTGAAATATATAACTACAACCATGTCCCTTAACTTTTGATTACATACAACGAAGTATGGCACTCATGTTTAGGTAATAATGCAGATATGGTAATATTTATTCCTCCTTGAAGTGATTATTGCAGGGATATAAAAATAATAAAGGATAATTCAGCATTCTCACTGTTGTTAGCATTATCTGAACCAGAGAATTATAGACAGTCTTAAACTTATATACACTCTTGTACTTGCAACTGACTACATGTTATGAGCTGTCCTTTATGAACATAAGTCTTACCCACTGTTTTCTGAATGCCTGAAAGCACAGGCCACTCATATTCCATTCACAAACACCCATCCACACTATACCCCATAATTCACTGCATGATGCAGGGGACATCATGTCATGTATATATCTCAGATATTACAACTTGGAGGGGGTAAACTGCTTGGAGTCTGGAATGTGAAATTTCTTCTACATAAGGGGATGACAGAGCAGATGGACCAAAAGGACCTTTATGGGCTGCTAGCCATGTGTAACTCTGGAAGCAAAACTATAATAGATGGTGCGAAGATTATGGGAAAACAGCTGCAGCTACTTACAAATCACTCATTATGATGAACATGCCAGAAAAAAGCCGTTGTTTTATGCCACTGTTTTCCATATGTAATATGTTAAGAAACTGAAACTTCCAAAGGTTATTGTAAATATAAGGAAGTCCTTGTTATACATGTCATACCAATTCTACTGTGGTTTCACTTGTCACAGTATTAGTCCAGAATGGACACCCCTCCAGTAAGATGACAACATTCATCTATCTTGAGTTCCAAAACAGTAAAATCAGTAAACTGTGGCTTCCGGAAATTGTGTCTCAGCTGTTAACTTCATTCTCCAGAGGGGCTCCACTAAATATGGAAGTGCATTTCTGTGGGAATTATAATTTCTTCAAGAAATAGCAAAAGTAGACTGGTGGCACTTTTGTTTCCAGCTTCATGCAACTGCTTTACCAGGCAGCTAGACTACCCTCTTTTATAAATATTAAATCTCCTGTGTATATTTTGCAATAGTTCTAAATTCATCACAAGACTTCATTTCAATCTTTGCTATTGAAATACTGCTAAACATGAAAATGACAAGCGAGATAAAAGTTCACATGTTAATGCCACTATCTTAATTAAAAGCTCTACTATGCACATACTAGGGGCACACAGTAGTGTACTTGGTTGAGGCACTGTGCTACAAGCCAGAAGGTTGTGGGTTCAAGTCCCAATGAGTTCATTGGATTTTTTCAATTGACCTAATCCTTAATTAATTAAATAATTTTCCTGGGGAGTAAAGCACGGCCGGCATGTAAGGCTGACAACCTTACCACCATCTCTGAGCCAGTTGTCTAGATAACTCACAACCCTATGGGCCTTCACGGCCTGTTACAGTGATAGATTTACTTTTACTTTTTTTTTTACTATGCACATGAATGAATATGTAAGGGTAGGCCTTCTCAGCCTTTGCACCATGACCAACAGTGATCTATTGTGCTTTACTATGCACATACTACATTCATAGAACAAGTAACCAAAAATAAACTTACGTGAGGCATCTATATGTCTAACATGATAAAAGATGATTTGTAGGAATATTAAAACTAAATATCATCTTGTTAATAAAATGTAGTGCAAGCAAGCATAATCTAATACTTAAATTATTAATCAAAATATGTGTAATAACCGGTTCCTTTTTAAATGCATAAGTGCATATGACTGATGATACACACCTGCACAAGTTCCTATACACCATGCCACCAATGGTTTGCTAATGCGGCCATTCTTCAGTGCTTCACATACATCATACTCTTCCACACCTCCAACCTCTCCCAAGAGAACAGTCATTTTAACCTATTAGGAGAAACATTCCATTGCTTAAAAAGTAAATAATAAACATATTTTACAGTATAACTTATATAATTCTAATAAAACCTCCTGGTACCAAAACTGACAGGATCCAAATGTTTTGTATGGCAGTTCTTGTAAAACTGTATACTATTTCCCTTCACTTTATAAAGCCCCTTAAGATCCATTTACTATAATGATAATTTCCAGCTGGCAGGCATGTTTCCTTTGGGAAGATAAATTTCTAAATCTGATGCAGTATCCACTACAACACAATATCTATGACAACAAATTGTGCTTCTATGTCTTATTCTAGAATATTAACTATAGGTTAAACACAATTATATAAACACTAGTAATGGGGACAAAATTAAAGACAGAATACTAGTATACTACACAAAAATAAGTTAATTTAGAAATGCATATATGCTGTAACGTGTTTTGCTACTGAAGACGCAGATCAGATTGTTAATTGGTTTATTTAACAACCTACAAATCATAACTACAATTAATTATGACACTGTTACAGGTTTACACACTTTAAAAACCCTACTCACAAATCTCTTCACTCGATATTCAGTATAACACATGTTCCATTTGCACGGCAGGGGCCCTTTAATTTTGCTGTATTCTGCTATGTTAAGTGGAACTAAATGTTATTAACCATGCATGATATGGCAATAAGATTTCCTTCCACATACCTCGGGATCCGCCTGGTACCTCATGATATGGTCCATGAAGTTAGTACCAGGGTACCGATCACCACCAATGGCTACACCCTCCAGCACCCCATTTGTTGCCTTTGAGATGATGTTATTCAATTCATTGGACATACCACCAGACCGTGACACATATGCTACACTGGATTGTAGAGAAAAGAACTTATAAGAATATACAGATGAACAGGGTTTGTAAAGTTATACCACATCCTACTCAGCAAACTAAAAATTCATTTATTTTCTAATCCCTTAAGGCACCCCCACCCCCAAAAAACACTACCACCACCATCAACATCATTGTTCTCATGACAGCCTATTATTAATAGGGAAAATGGAGATATTTTTATACTATATATCATCATCATCATTATTTAACTACTGGTGATATAAAACAGTAGGTTGAATAGGCACCTTTCATATAATGTAAGAAAAAATAAGGGTTCCCACTAAAAACTGAGGATTAACAGAATCTAAATTGAATATAGAAGTTTAGATCTTATTGACCCTCTAAATCTGGACGCTGCGTATGTGCTACACTTCTTGCCTTGCCAGGAAACCAACAGTGGAACGTGTACCACTGTAATTTGAAAAATCTATAGTAAAAGCAACTACCTCCAACAATGACACAGGTATTCACTGTTTGAGAGCTCAACCTTGTAGTTTTATGGTTCAACAGTAGAAGCTTCTGCACATAACAGAAATGCAATGTAAAGTGGTGCCAAGAGTCAGATGCTGCACTAACTATGCCTAAGTTTGCATATTCTCTCTCTTTGTCAATCAATGCCACCAAGTTTCAACTGTTCACATGTTGAAACATGAGTCGAGGATCAAGGAGAGGCCATGTACTGTTCTAAAAAATGTTCTGACACACTTGAATGCTATACAGAGTCTATTCTGTCAGATTTGTCACTGATATGCTCTATATTTGAACATGGACCCTTCAATTTTGTATTCTACATGTCAGTGCAACATTTTCCTTCCATGTGTGAAAATTTAACAGTTGCCAGAACTGACAAAATCATTAACTTTTTTCTGTGCCTCATTCAATACTCCATACAGGAGAAAGGACTCTTATATAACAGGATTCATACCCTCTGTAGCTCCTGTGCCTGTGACACCACACTGGGACATTGGGGCTTAACTCACTACATCTGCCACATGGCCCCAAACCAAGATAATGAAACAAATTTCACCAATACGAACTCATGATAAAAGAAACAATCTTAGTTTGCTTGGATTTATTATACACCATATTTTCTCTTTTCCAATATTGTAAACAGCACTGAAATGAATCCATATCCCTTCCTATTTTGCTTTTTTACAAGCTCCAACTTCACATAAATGTATCATTTTAAGCTCTAAGCTAATCTGTTTCATTGACATAATTAAGGTTTTTCAAAATTTTGCATTTGGAGCCAACCATACACAGGAGATGTCTGATCTGGGGGAAAACTTAAACTAGATAGTGACACAATACACAATGAAACAAGCTACAGAACTGACAAGGAACTTCAGAGGATGTCATGTGATGTACATCTCTCTGTGGTTAAAACATGAAAGGAGTAAGCTGCTCTCAGTTACATTCTGGAATGCAAACTTTTGATTAGACAAGGGTAGAACACTGAAGATGGGTAAAAGAACCTTTATAAACTGGCAGCCATTAAAATAACTCTGAAAGAAAACTGCAAATACAGTTGATTAATACAGTTACAGGAAAAAAGTGGTGGCTAATTATGTACGTAAGTCAATAAGTAAGTTACAAATGGATATAGAACTTAAACAAATAAGAGTACTGATTTGAAAAATGCTTTTATTTCTCAACATAATCTCCCTGTACATTGAGGAACTTGTCCCATCGTTTCGCAAGCCCCTGAAAACCAGCAGAATAAAATTCTTTGGGCTGCTGTTGGAACCAGGCAGTGACTTCCCTTTCTACAGCTTCATCGTCAGGAAAATGTTCAGCCGAAAGATGATGTTTAAGACGGCCCAACAGATGGAAGTCTTGGAGCAAGGTCGGGGCTATATGGAGGATGCTCGAGGACATCCCACTTGAAATTTCGCAGCGTCTCATTTGTCTTGTTGGCAGTATGGGGACACATGTTGTCATGCAAGAGCAACACGCCTGGTTCCGACAGCAGCCCAAAGAATTTTATGCTGCTGGTTTTCAGGGGTTTGTGAAATGATGGGACAAGTGCCTCAATGTACAGGGAGATTATGTTGAGAAATAAAAGCATTTTTCAAATCAGTACTCCTATTTGTTTAAGTTCTATATCCATTTGTAACTTACTTATTGACTTGCCCTCGTAGATAGATCACTCATCATGATGAAGATGCTGGGAAAATAAACCTCAGTTTATGCAATGGTTTTCCAAATATGTAATGCTAAAATAACTAACAGTTCCAATGCCTTTTGTCACTGTAATGAAAACCTTGCTGTATGCCACACATGCACTATCATAGTTTTGTGGTATTTTCATTTCATATACTGAAACTGAACTGGTATAGTTACAGTCTTCTTACCTGCCAGGCCTATAAAGCTTAGAATGTAGAATATTGTCCATCATTCCACCAGTGTTGCCAATTTTGAAACAACCAGGTTTAATACCTCCTACAGTAGCTGGTCCGATTATGTTAACTCCCTTCTCTTGGGCTAAAAGAATTAGTTTTCGTGTCATGTTTTCCGGGATGCCTTCTGCAATGATTGCAATTGTACGAATCTGTAAACAGTAACAGAAATATCTCTAATGTATTACATATATGAAATATATGCCTCCAGACTTTGTTCATCACATTTGCCAATAACACTGGTGCCACATCTGTGAAAAATGATCACAGATGCAGATGGGTTTGGATGATTTCTGCTGTATGAATATGTGCACAGTGGGGATGTCAGGCAAATATAGAAGAAGCAGACAGCAGTCAGCCCCACAGAATCAAACAATGGCTTAAAATTAACTATGTCCATATGACAACATAACTGACACCAGTATGATCTCTGTACGTCACATAATAGGAATTTGAAAACATTAGCCATGTCATTTTAATTTTTACCCTTCAGAAAGTTATACAGTGTTTCAAAAATTAATGTTCATAATTTATAAACACTGTTTTATAACAATAATATCTTGATTTGGGGAAGGAATGAAAAATGAAAGATGTATTTCAATACTGACAGAATATATTTAAAAACTATGGTTTAAAGATAAATGTTGAAGAGGACTGTAACATGAACATAAATAAATCTGAGTAATGTCATTAATACAAAAATACACAAGAAATGATTTAATTGTATGAAACACAGATTTATTCTGAATAATACTCAAATATTCAACTCCTGCTTCGCAGGAAACATACTATGTCTACATATAAAGACCAACCAGTTAATGCTGTTCAGGGACATTATCACTTTTTATTCCGAGTATCATACTGTCACATGTTAGAGTGAATCTTGACAGGTTTTTGGGTTGGAGATTGGATTTATTCACCACTTACATGTCATAACTATAAATAACTAATACACTATTGCTAATTTCCACATTTTACAAACACTACTGCACATGCTAAGCCTTTCCAGTCTGCTGTCTTTAGCAGTCATTCCCTGATAACAACTTCTAACGGGGGGCTTCAACTCACCGACCAAGTCTTCTTTTCACAGACTCGCTTACAAATGACTAACTTCTAAACCTGTATTGGTTATAACATCTTGGCTTGAACCACATAGAAAACACCATTCACTTTTGTATTCCAATTATTTCCACAAGAATGTGTTTGTTTACAAAGGCGGTACACAGTAACAGTTGTGTATACTTGCTCATTAAAAACCTGTTACCTAGTAGATGTTGTTTCATTCTGTTTCAAGGTCATTACCCAGTAACAGGACTACACACTACAATATGGAACATTCAAACACATCATCCATGTAAAATGCAGAGTTTTTAATATTTAAACAGGTGGTGCACGTGAAGTTGTTAGTATACAAAAAATTTAAAAATATAACAACAAGCTTCATTTGGAAAACAAAGTATCTGATGCCATCATGCATTCATTACATACATTTCAAGAAAAACATCAGACTGCAACAAGCAATTACTTAATAGTATAAGTTTTAAACTAGTTATGGAGCTAGGTCAGCAACAACGGAGTATTTTATGTTATAGATTAAGAAGGCCTTGGCTTTTGAAGTATTTCATTCATGATTAGTCAGTTGAAATATACATGAACCCACACATACACATACAGGAACACATGTGCAAAGCTAATGTCAGAGAGACATGTGCTTTGGATAGACGTCGGGCTTCAGTTCAGGGGTTTCAAATTACTTCAGAATCATAAGACAATGTGATATCTACTAGTCAGTCATGAATCTTACATGTGTTTATATGAGAACCCCTATTTCATAGGAACTAAACATATGTGTCTAGATACAAAAAGATGTAGGGATCATGAGTGACTAATAACACAGTGCTGAATGAAACACTCAAACACATGACCACCCTCACACAAATTTATATAAACATGCTTCATAATATGTACCCTTGAGCTATGGTCTGGATGATTAAATTAAGACTGGTGACTTAGACAGGATATGTAACACATGAGAAAACATGACTGTACTGGAATGTAACATTCTGGTTGAAAAATCTTCTGGTCACAGACCACCTGACACAGATGGGAGAATATTATTAAAACATAACTTAGATAAATAGTGTGTAACTGAACTGGCTCACAATGAGTACCAGGAAGGGGTTGGGTTCCTTAATAGGGAATTTCTTGACCAAATGAAGAACTATCAACCACTCAGATAAGTTCCAATGTCATATACCTGTGGGTAATTCATGGCTTCAATAGTACTTTCATAGGCTGAACGAAGAGAGGCGAAGTTGACAAGTACATCTGCGTCACTGTGCTTTCTCACTGCATCCTTTATTTTTGTGTACACTGCAAAAATGAAACAGGAAATGTTTTCAATGAGTCTGATACATCTCACATACAGTATTATCAGTTTGCAATGGTATAAAAGTGGGCTCCATAAACACAAAATTCTTAGCCACTGAACATAAACCATTTGCTCATGGTCTCAGCATGCTTCATACATGTCCGCATTTTTCCCCAGTCTATTTTAACTCAACCACAGCAAGCGGGCCTTGGTCTTAATCCCGACTGTGGTGGTCAAGAAACATACCAGTTAATTATGTGTTAGTATTATTGATCCAACAAGTCTTTTTCTTTTTGTGAGTTATTTCATGACACTGCCAATATCTAGGCTATGTCGTGACCAATGGTAGGATGATTAGTGAACGATGAACTGGAAGAAATTTGTAAGAGAGTGGTCATAGCCTGACTGAGTTACTGTCCTCATATTAGTCTGGTGGGAATGAAGAAAACTATGAAAACCTCAGTTAGGATAGCTGGTGTCCTTTCTGAGATATGAACCAAGCATCTTTCAAATCTGAGTCATGAGTATTAATACTACACCAACCTGCTCAGTCCCAATAGTTAAAATTCAGATATTCCTACAAATCTTTAAAATTGATTCTATATACATTAATTATACATTATTCATAATACATTAATTCCCTGGACTTTTTTCTCCTGTGGAATTTCTTAAAGCAGAAAGCAAACATTACTTTAATGTGTACTATGTTTACCTTAGCATAACATGAGCTTTCTTTTAAATTTAACTGTTTGTTGCATCCTGTTGTGTATTTTAATGAATATTAGATTCAATTTCACCGACCACACAACACGTTTTTTATTTACCGTCACACTACATGTTTCGACCTCAAGAGGTCATCATCAGGTGTACGAACACAGTTGCACAATCACACGCAATCACATTTCGTTTTTCCACTTATTTTTGATCCTGTATCCTGTTCAGGTCCACGCTCAAATAATATGTGTCAAGTTCTTCTTATAAAATATAAGTTAAAAATACAAATTTAAAAGTTAAAATTTAAAATTTAGTTCACTGTATCTAGTTATATTACTACTTGGTTAAAAAGTCCATGAAATAAACTTCAACTCATCACATTGACAGCACTTTCACTTTTGACGACAAGGAACGTAATAGATCCAACATCAGAGGATGCCGAAGAACAACAAGACCTTCAAAAGTGAAAGTTATGTCAATGTGATGAGTTGAAGTTTATTTCATGAACTTTTTAACCAAGTAGTAATATAACTAGATACAGTGAACTAAATTTTAAATTTTAACTTTTAAATTTGTATTTTTAACTTATATTTTATAAGAAGAACTTGACACATATTATTTGAGCGTGGACCTGAACAGGATACAGGATCAAAAATAAGTGGAAAAACGAAATGTGATTGTGTGTGATTGTGCAACTGTGTTCGTACACCTGATGATGACCTCTTGAGGTCGAAACATGTAGTGTGACGGTAAATAAAAAACGTGTTGTGTGGTCGGTGAAATTGAATCTAATATTCATGAGCTTTCTTTTTAAATTTAGCATTTTAAAATTATCTGGTCATGTTACAATGATGGCCAAAGAAAAAAAGAACATTACAGTGAATATTTAAATTGTGAACAGTACAAAACGCTCAATGTTATTAGTGCACATACTGTTACTACTACACACAGCACAGACAGACCTTATGTATACTCACTGTTATGATAGCATAGCCTAGTTATTGAGCAAAAGCAAAGAGGGAGTGAGTGCTGGGTAGATTGCAGTGCTACTGAACAGTACATGCCATGCCACAACATAAAATGGACACTACTAGATAAAGAAAATGGAACTAAGTCACGCTAAAGCATGTGGTGACTAGACGAATCTAACAATTTACAAACTGAGGAAGATGCATTTCTTCAAGAATTTAACAGCTGTGAATGGAAAGTGTTTTATAATAGAATAAATACAGTTTTGTGAAACAGTTCCATCTATAATGCTCAATGGCTTCCTTTCTGGTGTAACTATTCAATCTATTAATAATGCCAGCATTAAAATGAAATGGAATAGAGTACTCTGCCATTTTATAAAGCTGTCTACTAAAGATGAATTTTATTATCTCTGATAAAGAATGTAAGATACAAGCCTTTATTTTGGCCTAGTGATCATTACTTCAAAAATATAACATGGATGGTAGAGCATTCATATGACAGTTACATACGAATAATTTCAGAAATGAAACAATACCTGGAATTAATATTTCTTTGTGACCCCAGTAGTAATTCTGTTTGTAATCTCCTGCAAAAGGGTAAACCAATGCAACTACTGAAGGCTCTGATCGTCGACACACAATGTCAAAATCCAACATGCCCTAGAAACAAGGAACAGAAATGTAATATTACGTACTGCTCTACATGTTTACATGTACAAGATTCCCCGATAAACTATCTTGAGGCACGAATCATTCTCCTAGAGTTAAAATGCATGAATCATACGTAACCAATTTCTAGGCACATTGGTATCTTGATACTACCGAGAACTTACAAAATTTCCAAAATATACTCACTGTAACAGACTCATAACAACAAAAATAGTTCAAATCATGATTGGGTGTCAAATCCCATAATTCTTGTATAGATCTATTTAAAACTATTTTAACTATTCCATGTGAGTATATACTTTCATTAATAAACTTCATTACAAATAACGAAGAACATTTTCAGACCAATGCAGATGTATACAGTGTTAAGACACAAGCAGTGCCTTCATAAACCAACTGCTAACACCTCATGTTTTCAGAAAAGCGCATATTATGCTGCGATCAAAATTTTCAATAATCTGACACCTGATCTAAAAGTCTTATGAATGAAAAAGTATGATTTAAAATAGTACTAAAACAATACTTAAACACATACACATTCTACTCTGATGATAAATAATTACTGTTTAAAAAATGACTTATCCATTTAAAGGTTGTTGATTTCCCTCAAGAGAAATCCAACAAGCCACACCAGTTCTTCGTCATGTCATTGACGTCAGTAGCCTGTCCCCAGCCAACCGGTTCTTCTTGTTTACCGCAACTTCCTAGTGCTATTGACCTCAAGTTTCCTGGATTCACTGGCCGTTCCACCCCCCACCCCCCCTTAGCACACAACACCATATATGGCTTAATCGCTCTCCACTGCTCCTATTGGTCTGCTCTCCCTAACCATCCACCCTGCCTACTTCGTATATAAGCAGCGCCTTTCACGTCCTATCACTACAGCTACTGCTCTCTGCATTCCAAGCCATTCACCTGCTCTGAAGATGGAGGCGATACGTTCCCCTGAAACGTCGGCCAAAACAAAGAATACACGGCGCCTAAACCCAGAAGACGACTTTCTTCATAGACATTGCCATGAAAACATCAAAACTTACAAAATGTAAATTATTCACAACTTTTAATTCTGTATATGTATTTGGAAAAACTTACAGCATATCAAATAAAACAGAAAGACTTAAGTCAAAATCCAAACAGGCAAATTCCAAATGTTAGTCTCCTGCAGAATTATCTTTAATGGCAAACATACAATTTTTATCTTTTATGAATTCTCATTCTGTATTTCCATTAGCCGGAGCTCGAGAGGATTTATGGAAGGTGAATGAATGAATGAATGAATAGAAGAAAACCTTTCGGTCAATTGTGTCACAAAACGCTTACTTGGACTGCCCGTGTTTGCATTCCCCATACAATTGCTTTTGTTTTGTTAGTGAACAGAACTTCGGATGAGCTATTTGCATCCCCTCTTACTGCTCTGCTGGCCGCATTTTCTGCTTCTTTATGTACAGAGGTGGTTAATGAAGAGCAACTCACAGATCCTTTACGTGAGTGTAGGGGACTACCCTGTGAACATAAAAAATGGAAAATTTATTATTGCATGAGAAAGTTTTGAAGACTCTCAATTACCCACAGCACTGGTATAACAAATGTGAATAAAAATTAATTGTACTTTATATCACCTAATGATGAAGTCATTCTTGTGCTTAATTAAGCATCACACCATAACCACAGCACTAGTATAAAAATGTGAATAAAAATTAATTGTACTTTGTATCACCTAACAATGAAGTCATTCTTGTGCTTAATTAAGCATCACACCATAAATACATAAGAGGGAGTGGAAGTATAGCTCCACACATTAACCTTGGCACTAGACAGAGCTGAGTGTTCAGCTTCATGCTCTGCCTTACCATAGGGAAAGCGCCCTTGGTACCCACTGTAGGCTGGATAAACACCAGAATGTTTGGATGATGTGGAAAAGAGAAAATCTCTTGACCCTCTTGGGAATCAAACACTGACTGAGCTATCCCAGTACATTGCATCATCCAATCTTGGTGAAATAAAATCTGGTTTATGGAAAAAATAAATTAATACTGATATTACCTTTCTCAATAATGTAAGGCTAATATATCAGAATTTTCAATAGGAAAAGAAATTCAATGAAACTTGAATTCTTCACTTATATGTTAACACATGGACTTCTGGAGAGAATTTATGACACCTACTTTCTTAGAAAAGAATCAGCTTCTATTGTTAGAGACTAGTAAGAACTATACAACGATAAATATACAATTTAGTGATTCATTTTTCTGGACAATTCCCATTACTACACATTCCTGCTATTCTATATTTGGCAGATTATAATCCAACTTTCGCGATGTTTGTAAAATATGGGGTCTTTATAAAGTCATAGATTGCAGACTTCTCCAAAGCAATGAAAATCTAACCTATTTCTGTATGCTAAGAATCTTCATGAACAAATTTATAAACAACTGCAATGATGGAATATTTGCACATATTTTCATCCACATTCAATTATCTTCTTTACATTTTCAGACTTCACAAAAGATCCCAACAATGATACATTGGCTTTTAGTTATTTCTGGTTTCCTTTCTAAGCAGTAGATGGAATCTCATGTAGTATTCACATTTATACACCACATATGGAAATGACAGCATATCAAGCATGAAATCAATTTTCAGGAGATACACACTGAACATTGGACACATTTATTTACTGCTAGTGCACACTTAACTTAGATGACTAAATATTTACCCACAACAGCACAACAATAAGACAGGATTTTCTATTTTTTTGTTTTATTCAATTATGCAGCTAGGATATTGCTAGTAGATTCTAAAAGCTTCTGATGATTGTGTATAACACTCAATATTATTGGGTTTTTGGACTTCATCTATTATTTAGTATTCTAAAATACATAGAAGAACATGTTTCAGAAACTGGATCTCATTTCTGTCCCCAGGTGAGGGGTGAGAGATACCTATTCTGTTGGGTACATTAGAAAGAGTTAACCTCACTCTAATGGACAAAACAAAGTTTTCCATTCATCACCTGAGGATGGAAACAGATCCATTTTCTGAAATGTTGAGTCCCTTTTTTTTTAGATGATGGACAAAGTCCAAAATCCCAATAATCCTTGGGTATTGCTGTTTAATATACTACAGTAAACATACCTTCCTAACATCTATTACAACAAAAAAGCTTAGAACCCTATATTACATACTGCCAGCAACACTTTCATCTCAAGAGTTTATGTGGTAATCATGCTGCAGTTATTGATGGTCAATTAGAAAGAAGGATGGAGCAGCCTCTAGAAGCATGACATTCTTATCAAGTTTCATAAAAATCCACCTGTTGTTTAGAAGCTACTAGGAGAGACTAATGTGAATGGTTTAGCTGAATAATTTTAGTATATAGGCATATGATGATTATAATATGCGAGTAATGTAATTCAGTGTTGCTAGTGTAACTACACTTCAAGTATATACTCACTTTTTAGAAACAAACACAAGTAATGTGGCCATGGCTAAGATGACTTAAAAGTACACATGAAAAACATGCAAAGTAGTTAATACAAGAAAATCGTAAATAAATATTATGCTTCAAGATGAAAAAGTCAATATACTTTATACAAATGCAAAGTCAACTGAAAATCCTACACTATAACAACAAAATAGCTACAAAAATACTGAATTAATGTAACAAAGCCTGTTTATTACATGCTAAAATAAGTACAAGTATAAAATTAAATTATAAAGAGTTTAAAAACAGAAGAGGAAATATGTGTAGCATCACAGAAACAGTCACTACTATTTCCACTCAACAAGTTCATAGTTACTCAACCAATCAAGATATTTGCTACCTTTATGGAATTTGAAAGTTTGTTACAGTTTCTCAAAAGTGCACTATTGGGCCATATCCTCAGAGAGCCGAATCCTGATCACACCTTCAAATTCTGTTTCTCTCAGATCCATTTTATCATTATCATCCTATCTATATCCAGGTCTTCCAAGAAGTCTTCCTTTGAGGTGTTCCAATCAGAATTTTTTACATGTATATGTGCTACATACCCTGTCCACATCTTCCTTAATTTAATTTTGCTGTATGCTTTCCAAGGTCACAGTTCCAAGCATAAGAGGAATACTAATAACACCAAGTAGCCGGTCACGGTAGCTGAGCGGTCTAAGGCATGCACTGTCTTCGCTCGCTTGGAAGCCGGGATCGTGGGTTCAAATCCCACTCAGGGCATGGATGTTTGTGTGCGTTTTTCTGTGTTTGTCTACAGGTAGAGGCCTTGCGACGAGCTGATCACTCGCCCAAGGAGTCCTACCGTATGTGTAAGATCTAGAAAAACCGAAGTGGAGTTCATGGAGGTAGGCCTAGGCCCACTGGGGCTGTAGTGCCAAGGAAAAAAAAAATAACACCAAGTATACTGCATCACTTCTGGACAAGAAATGCATTAGAAGCAGCCATATATTTACTGAACCAAAGGCTGTGAAAATTCACGGCAGTCAGTGAGACATTTCACACACTTCAATTCTTCATGCTCTGAAAGAAATCATATTGTCATCACTGCATGATATTATTCATACCACGCAATGCTTAATTTCACAAACTTTTTAGTTCTTTGATTTACAGACCTTGTCTGATTTTCTGTTTCAGATTTTATCCCTTCTCATTCATTTCTTAAAAATCTAAGAAAACTTCATATCTACAGCTTGAAATTCACTTACATATCTCTCAGACCAAGCTGAAATTTCAGTTCCATATATCAAAATAGTCAAGTACTACACTTTATAAAACATAACTTTTATCTTTTCCAGTACTTCCAAACTCTAATGATTTCTCTTGCTTAATTTCTTGGCTTTGTGGATTCTCTCTGTAATGTCCTCTTGGATCTTTCCATCTGATGAAACTTTACTAACTGAATAAGAAAATCTTTCATGTACATTCAAAACTCTGTTGCTATATTTGATTCCTTCTGTTTCTTTTTGTGACTACTGAATATGCTTACCTAAACACAGCTCCAACACAAACCAAAGTACAATTCTTCACAATTACTGTGTCTAACAATGTACAATGACTTGGATTAATGTCCACCCATAGTGAATGGTTAATGTAGAGTGCAATAGATTTATGTTGTTAATTTTATACTGATTATAACTAGGAAGTACGCATAAAAAATATATGGCCATACAAAAGAAAGATCTACCTTCATTTCTGACAGCATGCTTAACTGCAACATTCATCTTCCAGACATATTTCAAAATTCCTTTAGAAGAGTGACGTGCAAAATGAAAGATTAATCCATTCCACTTCCTCTGCTTAATTGCAAGTTTCAAAGCAAAGCAAAAAAAACGCACTGAAACCCCCATACCCAAGCCAAACAAGAGGCATAATTCTGAAAACAAAGAAGAGATATGCACACAAAAGATTCTATATGTTTAATGTATGTGTTCTGTGAAGTTTTGTTCTCTTATTACAGTTTCTGTCTAATACTTTTGATACATGTTATATAAATATGTATACAACAGCAGTCAAATGTGTTAGAAACCAACTTTAATTTTAAAACAGGGAAATTCTCAGAGCCCCGAACTGGCTGGTGTTAACAACATTTTGCTAATCACATTATACTTTATGTCACACATTGACATACTTGATATTCTGCAATGCACAAAAAATAACCTTTAAAAATGTCACATTCTTTCAGGGTCTAAAACACTACAAAATTTCTGGGCCTTGCATTAAAAATCAAGCTAATTTTATTCCCATCTCAGGAGTCTGTATTGATGCTATTCTGGCATAACCAATGACAGCAAATCTAGAAATATGAACATGGAGTGGATTCCAGTTGCATAATTTGCATACCAACCTCAATGAAAATCCATCACTTCTTTGGAAGCTATTATGAAGCACAACAAATATGGATATTATAAAACTATAAGCTTCCTCTTCCTCACAAAGTAAGGAAATTAGACAGAAAATTTAAGCTGTAGTTCCCAGTACAGGACAAAAATTCACATTTTCATGTATACATATTGTGACCTACATCAATTGTGTACATAACCCTGTCCTTTCTCTCCTTTAATTTTGTAATGCATTTACCATTGATGGTTCACCATCTCCTTTGTTCAACTGAAACATCACACAGCAAGGAATACTGTAATCATCAGTGTCATAAATTAAAATTCAATTTTATTTTTATTCATTTCAATAAGCTTAACAAAACGAACTCTAAATAAATACCAACCCTACTCTGTCCACCAGGTAAGAGAAAATTGGCTGTGGCAAACTCCACCTCTGTTTCCTTGGGAATAGGTTTTTTTCCGAGTGCCATGCCAACAATAGCTGTCATGTGTGTCTCTGGACCAAATACATATAAAGGTATTCCCAAATTCTGTCCCACATCCCTCATTATTCTGGAAAAAAATAATTACCTGTTACACACAGATAAGTTCCAGTATAATTGTGCTCCTCATGTCTTTCCATACTCTGTACTTAAATTCCATATGCACAGAAATTTCTATTTATACAAAACACAGGCTTATTCAACATATACAATTAGTTATACAGTCACATTTATGGTACTCCAAACCTGTTGCAACTATCCTCACCACTTCCCTCTTAATACATATAAACAAACTCTTGGATAGTAGAATCTATAGGTTCAACACCATTAAAACTCATGCCAAAGCTTGATATGAACATCGGCCTGAGCCAGTTTGATCCTCTCACATCCTCACACCCTACATTTGACAGTTTTTCAAGACACCCCCATCTTAACAGCAGCCCAGGCCACTCACGTAACATCCTAAATTGTCCTCTCAACAACCTTCTGAAATATTTCTTCTTCTTCACTAACTCTCTCATGACAGAAATGAAAGTTCATCATCACACCCTCGCCTTAGTAACTACACACAAAAATGTTCAACTGAACTAAATGTAATTTCAAAGTATCATTAACTATGATGAAAGAATGATTATGTAAGTGCTTATCATCCAATGGAGGGTAGTTAAAGCATGAATAAAGCATATATAAATATCTAAGAAAATGATAAAACACTACAGCATTCGGAATTATTCCATTTGACTTCATATCACTAGTAGCATCAAAATATTCAGATGCAATTAATTACCTCAAACCTTCCTGATAATTGGGGCCGGCCCGACGGACAAAAATAGAAATGTTATATTCTACCAATCTTGACTGGAATTCCTGCAGTGCTGTTACAATACCTTTAAATGTGGCTGCCACGTTTGTGAAATTAGCAATACCACCACCAATAATCAACACCTGTAACACAAAATCATTACCTTCATTGCATCTTATACCATGATATATCCTCAAATAAGAACACAAAGTGTATGGCTGCTAATCTTCTTCAGATGATTCTCTCTGGATAAGAGCATACTGGATACTTGGTGAGAAGGGACTGGTTAGGTTTCATTTGTAATATGGCTTCATTCCTTCAGTGGAAATATGATGACTAAATATTAACACTAAATTTGTGTGAATACAGTACTAATAACTGTGTATATAGCAACATAATTTACAAAGCTTGTTCAACATTTTCACCCCTTTTCACTATCATAAAATTTTCTTCCAACTGTCATTATACAGTATTTAAATTTATTTATGGGAAGACATTATCTTGCATTTCAGTTACTTCATTCATGGTCAACTGTTTCTTCTATGATAGATTTCAGCATACTCGTAGTACAAGGGACAGTCACTAAATAGGTCACAATGTATATAAAATGTAAAACATGAGATACTCAAACCTGAAAAAAACATTTATTTCTTGACATACCCTCCATCAACACTGACATATGTACTTGTCCCATTGCTTTACCAAGTGCAGCAAAGAAACCTATTGACTGTTGTCTCAGCCACTTTCACAATTCTGTTTCAACCTCTTTATCAACAGGGAAATGTTTGCCACCAGGGTGATTTTTTAGCGGATGAAAGGGACAGAAGTCACTAGAGGCCAAGTCTGGGCTGTAAGGCGGATGTACACAAGTTTCCACTGCAGATCTTGAATTCTCTTCTAGGTTGCTCAGGCTGTATGAACTCTGGTATCATCATGATGAAGCAGTAATCCTCTTGCCAGCTGGCCTGGACATTTTCTGCAAATTACATCCTAAAGCTTCAACAGAACCTCAGAGTACAATGCAGAATTCACATTTTCACCACATTTCTGAAAATGGGCTAACAGTAGTCCCGAAGAATCCCAAAACAAGGTAAGCATAACCTTCCCAGCTGATGGTGTAGCAGTAACCTTAAACTTTTTGGCTGGAGGTGAACTGGGATGTTTCCACTGCACTAAAGCATGCTTTGAATTGGGTTGGTAGTGATGCACCCATGATTCCTCTCCAGTAGCAATCCTGTTAAGCATATCTTCTCCTTCATAAGCATACTGTAAGAGATGTTGCCAGGACAGACCCAGTTCATTTTTTCTTGAGCTTTCAGTTCTCTGGGCACCCACTATGCACACACTTTCTGAAACTTCAAGCGATCACGCATTATGCTGTATGCTAAACTATGGGAACAACACAGTGCAGTTGCCACAATGTCTATCATCGTCAGGTCAACTTGAACCAACTCTTCCACCCACTCCACAGTTGCTTCCATCACAATCACAATAGGGTGACCTGGTTGGGTACCATCTGTGACTTTCAAACATCCTTGAGAAAATTTACTGACCCAGTTTCAAACCACTTTACATGACAAACTCTTGCCAGTGTAAACAGGAAACATTTCTTTATGAATATCCTTTGGACTGAGTCCTTTTGCCCACAGAAAAAGTAAAATAAAATGCTGGTCTTTGGTATTACACACCTCAAGCATGGTTGCCATTTTGACTACTGAAACCAGCCTCCGAACATGTGCATGCATGTCTGCTACCTAGACTGTCATGAAACTGGACTGTGCTGCAACCTAGTGACACACACAGAAAACCTATTATGTCCATTAAAGCTGTTTTACTTCCATTTGTGACCTACTTACTGACTCTTCCTCATAGTAAAGGCATTACTATGCGTGCACATTAGCAAGTATGTGAAAGCTCGGGTAGTGTACTCTCCAATAACAATTACAACATTAAAAGTATAAAAGAAATATATTAAGTTAAGTCCAACAATACACTTCAATTTTTGGTTTCTTTTTTTATGAAAATTTACCTTGCCCTTTGGGTGTTTCTCCTGACACATAAGGCCAAGTATGGTCTTAGCATATTCATATGTTTGCTGTTCAGATGGAGCACCACTATATTCTCCATAATTGGCCAATTCTGATGCTCCTCCCAAATCACAAATAGTATCACTGTAGATGACAGATGCACCCCCACCAGCTACCATTGTCCAGATACGTCCAGATTTGTTCAGGATTGTCAACTGCAAAACAATGGCAGCTTGTACCCTGTAATCTTCATATGTTACAGAATGATACTAATGTAAGGTTCTGGGCATGATAACATGAAACAAATTTCTCAGAGTAGGCAACACAAGGGAAAGAATCTGGATTTTACAAAATAATAATGGATACATTAAGAAGAAAAATATAAAAAAGAAAATAACTTTCATATAAATATCAATATATAGGATGAACACACAGACTATAACAGACTTAACCTAACTTCATGGTACTGAGATATTCCTAAAAGAAAACAGTCAATATGATTTACTAGTATGTAAAGAATGAGATGGCATTACCAAGTGAGGCAAGGTAAGGTAAACAGAAAAGAAAAATAGACTGGTGACAAATGTAAGACAAAAGGTTGCAGGAAGACAAAACACAGTTATATCAAATGACATCCCGTTAAATTTGTAATGTCCACAGATGACACAATCATTATTCACATGACTAAGGGTCATACAAAAAAAAAGACCTTCCATAAAAATTATAACAGGTTCCAGCACATGCTAATGCAAGATTATTCATTAGTCAGATACATTCTATACTTCATAAAAAATGGATGAAACTTGATACTCACCTTAAGTGATGCACCACTCTTGGCATCCAGATCTGCAATGTTTGCTTCTTCAGGAAATGCATCACGACCAAAGGGAGGGGGATAATCAATTTCACCCCATTTAGGACGGCATACAAAGTCAGCTGTTGAATCAAGCTTTGCTGCCAGATCCAGAATATATATTACATCCTTAGTCACAACCAGGGGGTTGATTTCAAGATATGTGAAGTATAACTCTGTATATAGCTGATAAAGGGATTCAATAAATTTCGCTATTATCCTGTAAAACAAAATTAAACTCTCTGTCGGAACAAAATTATTACATTTACACACCCCGCAACAGAGTGAGATACTTGTTTCACAAAACCTCTAACAAAAATCATGACAAATAATAAGCACTTATCACACTTATCTTGCAATTTTATTTTTTCTTTTATAAATTTGAAGAATAACAGTCTGTGGGTCAGCTATTACTGTCTCCCCAAAAGGGAATGTTATGTATCAGTAACTCATGGCAAGAATTTTATGCAAATACACTAAGTCAGATTCCAGATGGATCACGTTTGGTTTTTCAATATAGCCTAGAGAGCAAAATGTTTGCCCACTCCTGAGATGTTACATTCCCTTTCTCATTCAGACACACCTGTTCTGCAACTCCTAATCCTTTACGTGGCATGGGTGTTATGTTGGTTAGTTACCTGCCAAAGACAAACACAAGCTTTCTATTAGGATGTAAAGTAAAAGTAAAGCTATTCCCATACTTAATTAATTAACCACTATGCCCTGAAGACATATGAGTCAGTGAAGGTATAGCTCCATCATACTTAACCTCAGCACCTGATGGAGGTACTTTCCCCAACCCACAAAAACAACTCCTGTACCACTGTGTATGAGGATGGAGGGATCTCAGGGCCAGTTTGAGAAATAAAATGACCTTATTTCCAATGAAATTACTTTCAATTTACTACTAACATAAGGCAGATAAGATCAACAATGAGTCTACCAAAATGAATTTTCTTCACAGATTTTAAAGAGTTATTTTGATGCATATTTAGGTAAAAACTGGTTAAATCAAACAATTCTACTATCAAACAAATCAAGGCTATTAGAAGATCAACAATTTGCGTGCCATGTCTTGCAACATAACTGCCAGAAATGTCACTGCTGTTTGGGGGTAAATGCAATTGCACAGAAAATCCCACAACAGTATTCTCAAATTAACTTCAAAGTTAAGTAGGTTTATATCATGTGAAAGCCAGTTCTTTCCCCTACACACTGGTATGTTGCACATGGTGCCTCTGTTGACAGAAGTACCATACTGATTCACAATGAAGCCATCCCTTAAGGTGTGGTGATATTAATGCAAATACTCCAAACTCATGTAGTCAGCACATGGCATGCTAAAGGTTATGGACGAATCAAGTTGGATGAAGAAGGACCAGAATGAAAGACAAATGAGTACCATGAGAGAAAAAGTGAATGTGTGTTGTTATTCTAATATTGTTGCTGCTGTCCTTGCTGCTTATTCCACAGATCATTTAAACAAAATTGATGAGCCTGCAGGCATCGCAAAAGGTCGCGTATTATTTATAAGGTCTGAATTTATGGATCTGATGAAGTGAACCATGTTTTCAGGAGAGAATTCTTCTACATTATATCAGGCACAAATTGGACACTTTTTGATGTCTTCCACTATCTTCATGCACTGGAGATGTCCACTTCTGAGTCTTGAATCTATAATTTGAAATTACCTGTCCAGTGCAGGACAAAGCACTCCTTCAGCAACTGAAATGTGATATTTTCCAGTTTTTCTTGATCTCCTACTTTAGTTAGTTAGTTATTGAAGAGGATGGGTTTCCCAATGCACTTAGACCAGTATTGGTCCACTGTGCTTCCCTCTATGATATTCTACCAGTCTCTATACCCTACCGATATTGGTGCGTACCATCAGTCCTGACCGAGCCAGGAGTTCGGCCTCTACTGGCTTGGCGGTATCTATAATGCTTCCCCCATCTATAAGAGGCGTTAGAGACTACTGTTGGGCGGGAAACGTCCTTGAATTTGGCTGTGACCTCCTTTGGAGATATGAGGATCTCCTACTTTACTCTGTAATTAATTTCTTATATTTTGCATGAGAAATGGTGAAGCCACTTTAGCCAGTTGCAATTTCATTTTATTACATGCCACTTGTATGAGAACTTAATGGAGGTGAACTTCATTATATGCAAATCTTGTGATTGTTACAAAATGTTTCTTGATATTTTCTACTGAAATTCAACACACTTTGTCTCACACTGGAAATAACTCCTGAAATCAGTAAGCTGGTAAGGATATTTTTTTATTCACTGTTTGCTGTAACTTCTTGGAAATTCCTGGGAGGACCCAATAGTCAGATTCCATTCATCCTAAATTATAACAGGGTAATGGCCGGCCATAGCTCAAGTGGTTAGTCGCTGGCTTCCCACAGTGGCAGCCCAGGTTCGATCCCGGGTCTGATCAAGTGAGATTTGTGGTGGACAAAGTGGTGCTGGGGCAGGTGTTCTCCGAGTACTTCGGTTTCCCCTGCCAATCTTCATTCCACCAATTGCTCCACAATCACCCTCGCCTATCATCTGGGGCTGGTACAATAGGCAAGAAGTGGCCGCAGTACAAGGGACTTAGTCCCACCCCAAAGAAAAAAATTAACAGGGTAATAGAGGAGGATGATGATTAGAAAAATAATTTTAAAAGCTTAATATTGGATCAAAACTATGGTGGAGGGAATCCAGAGAGCTCAAATTCTCCAAAATCACAAAAGTACAGCTTCGCTACATACGTAGGTTGGGATTATGGGATTACCAAATGAAAAAAATCTGTACGACAACCAGCCTGTTTCAACCTTAAGGACTTGACTATAGAAGGTCAGGGTTTTATGTCACCTAGTCTCTGAAAAGAAGGAAAATATATAAGTGAGAAAAAAAAATNGGGCCACTCTCCACTTTCATATATGGTGTTCATTAGTTTTGTCATTATTTTAGGAAAATATATAAGTGAGAAAAAAAAAAAAACAACAAAGGACAAATATCAAGTGTAGGGCAGAGAAAGAACCTAGAGGTCCAAAAGTATTTGACACATGAGCTGTTATGGTAACAGCCATGTCTCTTACAAGCGCAACTAGTTACAGCATTCAAACAAATTCTAAACATCTACTATTAACTTACGGTTTCTTTGGAGCAACAACATGGGTTAACAGTTTATCCTGAATGGTAGCAACATCAGTAGAGCGACCTACAGGTACATCAAGCTTAAGAGCCTTGGCATCTACATCACCAATATCAACACCACCCTGATGATGAAACAGAATGGTGTCCGCATAACGATGTGAGTAGATACACACATATGCTTCTTCATCCTACAATAACACAATGCAGTGTCAAGAGGCAATCTTAAATCACTCTACAACAGTAGCTTAAATTATTTTCACATGAAACCCTTATTTATTATAATGCCTAGGCCAATTGAATAGCTCAACAAACATGCTTTCCTGCTCATCCATGATGACTGAAATAATTGTAACAAGCAAACAATAATTGTATGTCATACATAAACATTTTGTACAGCCTAGTGAAATATTCAGGTATGTGATGAACAACATTTTTATTAATGAACTAAGCTAACATCCCTTGAAATCTCTTTATACCTTTTCATACAAACAAATGTAAATCGTTCACTTTCATAACAAATCTGAACATGATTTTCCCTCTAGCCTAGCAAAAATCTTAAGGACTTAATACACAATTTCCTGTTTGGTCTGGCTCAATTTTATACATTTTGATCGGGTTTAGTTTAGTACTTTGGTACTGCCGCAGAATGAATTCTAAGGTCTAAAGAGTTCAAAAAATCTTCTGAGCATTTTTATTTCAATGTCTGAGCCATCTACTGCAACTTAATGGGTATAAAAACAAAAAAGATAGCCTTTAACTCTCTAAACTTGTACTTGGAAGGTGCTCAGTTTGAATCTTGGCTAGGACACCACCCATCCTGACAGAGGTTTCCTGTAATTTTCCTCTTACAGAGAGTATGATATGAGAGCTCACCTCAAGCCACACCAGAAAAATACCAGACTCCCAGTTCCCTGAACCAGTGGACAGAACATCCCTTTGGTCCATACCCAATCCCTAGTTTGCAAGAAATCCACAGAATTTTATCAGCTAAATTAATGTTGTCTGCAAATCTAGTGGGTTTGTCAACATTGTTTCACTTGTGAGTAACAACAGTTTGGTTCTGTGTTCATACATGGATTCTGTAGGTAAGAATGTGACAGGCATCTCACATTGTCATTCCTTATTGACTTACGGGACAGCTTTTATAGGAAACCCATTATCCCAAATGTGGGAGAACTATCACTACCTAAAAGCCTTGTCTCTACAGATGACAATATATTTACATTCATTGAATAAAGGATTATTAGAGAATAGTCCACTGAGAATGGTGGCTATTATTCTTCAACCTTCTCATGCCAAAATTCTTAGAAGATGCTCTATTCATTTAAGGCAAAAAAGGGACAGAAAAACTTCACAAAAGAGTTCAAGTAATTGCAACAAACACCATATACAGATGATGTATACATTACTGTAGCAGTGTGTCAAAAAATGAAGAGGGAGAAGTTCCATCAACATACACTTCAACTGAAAATGGTAAGTCACTTAATAAAGATACCTGTGGAACATGATCCACCTATTCAAGGGATGGAGAACAATTTCCAGTGTTTTTTTTTAACTTTTCAATTCATTGTCACTTGCTGACTGGCTTTGGGTTTCAACCAACCCCACATCACATGAACATAAGGGGCTTATGAAGGCAAAAATGATCATACCCACTACCTGTTCTCTCCTTCTATATCTGCTTCTTGAGTGAACAATCTCTTATATTAGTCTGCAGATTCAAAATAAATTAAATGTGACAAATGAAAGAATTATGACATATATCTTTGCAGACAAAGACAAGAATATGATTTTCAAGATTTATGAATACTGAATCTTACCTCCTCATGTGGAATGAACGGTTCAATAATAAAATTCCTAAGTTTCCCAGTTGCTCGGCCAATCTTCTGGTCTTTGCCCATGCGCTCTTCAACCCATGATTTCACTGCTGGAAAGTCTGCATTTACTTTAATCAGACCCAACTTGCCACGTCGTTTGATTAGCTGATCAGGCTTTACTACAAGTTTCTGTAAACAAATAATTTACAGCAGATTCAAATATATTTATCTATAACTACAGGAGTAGGCATTAAGAAAACATGTTTATTCATCTACTGAATAGCAATGGCTGTACTCATTTTATTTTGAGGTCTGTGCCCAGCAACGGGTCTATATGCCACGATACTCTATTCCATATTACCTAGTTATTCTATGCAGGAATGGGAGAAGCTGAATCCCTTATCTTTTTCATACTGCTTTCACATTCAGTTAACCATGACCATAAAATTTACCTGCGTCTGCAGCCATGGGTTTCTTGAAAGAAGTTCTGTCCAATCTGTAGCTTCAGTAACAGAAGCAAACTGGCACTTTGCAGCAGCTGTCCCACTAGGAAGGTTTCTGTTGATCAGATCTTTGCCTGACGCTTCACGGATGGCTTTAGCAGACATCTTCTGTCAGTCACCACACCAACTGTTAAAACAAAAATAATACATACATAGTAATTAATAACTCAATGACAGAACATTCTTCTGTAGCCACTGATACTGTTTATAGGGATAAATTCTATATGATGACTATGTATAAATTTTGAGCTTATTTGCAATTAACAGACCTAACAGCTGCCATTCTAACATGTATCTGTGATGTTATCAAAGACAGGGTTAGGTAAACAAGATAGGAATGTACATATAACGCAAGTTTAGAGGCGTATTCAGATATTCCGTCTTTGAGTTCAATGGATGAGATGGCCATTGCTTCATTCCCATGACAACCCTAGTGTGCTCTCATCAATAGAGTAGGATACATTAAAACACTCTCAATAAACATTGCTGGGTCTTCATGCAAAGTGTCTTACTTTTATTCAATGAAGCACGAAGATTAGCTTCACCACGACACACCAACGTGGAAGTGATACAGCTTCTTGACAACAAGAGGACAGTGAGAAGGCTCAAGAGACTCAAGCCATTTGAATTAGTGCAGTGCAAGTGTAAGTGCAAGTTAGTTAAAATGCTGAAATGTAGACTCAAGCTGCTTGAACTGGTGTGACAACAATGTGCTCAAGACACCTGATTCTGGGACACACTGGTGGGTGTAGTATTACACATTTAGTTATAGTAGTAGTAGTAGTAGTAGTAGTAGTAGTTTAAGTTAAAGAGAAACGGTCATTAGTCTCGGAATAGTTGCATTGTTAGAACATTACACAAAATTTGTATTCAATAAAGGTAAAAAGTTGTCCTTTTGCTTAGCTAATTAAGCACTACACCATGAAGATGTATGAGAGTGGATGTGTAGGTCCACGTTTTCTTGACCTCAGCACTATTTGGAGGCAAGTGATCAGTTCATTTTAACCAAAATTAAATTTTATTGATAGATTTCAACATAACTAACTAATACAAAGTCCCATGAAAATCCATTCAGCGGAAGCCAAATTGTTCCATACGCATGGCTGGACTGAGAGACAGACAGTATAACATTTAGTTAAAAAGAAATAAGTGCATCATAGAATTCTCCTTGCTAAAAGGAACAAGGGGGTACACGGTAGCGTAATGGTTAAGGTACTATGCTACAAGCTGGAAGGTTGCAGGTTCAGGTCCCGATTTTTTCAATTAACCTAATCCTTCCGGCCGCACTAGGCCCTGGGGTTTACTCAGCCTCTAACAGATATGAGTACCAGGAATTAATTAAATAATTTTCGTGGGGAGTGAAGCGTGGCCAGCGCATAAGGCTGACAACCTTACCGCCATCTTTGAGCCGATGGTCAAGGTAATGCAGGACCCTTAACATCTCACAACCCTATGAGCCTTCACAGCCTGTTACAGGGATAGAAAAAAAAAGGATCAAGTGAAAACCAAGTGATGTTACTAAAGGGCACTACTTTCCATTCAGTGGCATAATGAAATATTGAGTTACTACATAAGCATTTCAAGTTGTTTTCTTTTCCCTTGAAAAGTGTTGTTAGTGACAATCATCCTTTCACAGACGCACCACTCCTAAACTGACATAGAAGTTGGGTCTTATTTAAGGTTAGTAAGGTTGACACAGGTATTACGGTGCCTTTGCCTCAGAATAACTTGACTTCTATCTAAAAATGTAAAGAGCAAAATAAACAGAAGCTACAAATTGAACAATTGTTCTGCAAGTCTCAAACATGGTCTCTCATTCTAAATCAGTGGTTCCTGAACTATGTGGAGCATGAAACATTGAAAAGTGGTGAAAATTATGGGAATGCTCCAATACTGAACTGTGAATTGATGAAATTCTCTGTGTACTTACCTTATAAAATCAACAGAAGGCAGTTCAGTTAGCAGTAAATTATGCAGTCCATATGTCTTAAGATAGGCAGTCCTACAGTTTAACTGTTGCACATGTCAGTTTTAACGAATCATGCCCATGTTGCACTGTCATGATTTATTCTTAACAAAACAGGCCCATGTCACACTGTCATGATATCGGTGACCATTGCTGGCTTAAATTAAATAGAGCCAAAGAAATGCAAAACAAACGTGTTACAGATCTGATTATTACAAATTACTGTGGTCTCAGTTAATTAGTAAAACGTGACACAGTAAGACGTACATTGTGCAGCTGTGTAAAAATGGACTTGTGGCTTATAAAGCAACCTAAGAGTGCTGAAACTGATATAGATATGTCAGGAGCAACAAGTTCTACAGCAGATGATTCTCGTGCTGGGGCAAAATAAAAGTAAAGGAATGAAAACAAAATAAAGATGAAAGTATCAAATCCACTTCCTGGTATTCAATTTTACTTACCATCTTGCTACCTTGTAAACAGTAAAGACAGTCCTCAGTGTGTTTCTGGTAAAGTTCTTGCAAACAATAGTTTCAATGCATGAAATGTGCATAAAGTACTTAACATCACAATTTTCTTGAAAGAGAACTATACTATAAAAGTGTTAACAGTCAAACATGAGGAGAACTATAGTCACTACTGAGAATACAAAAAGTAAGCCACTATCTCGAGAATAATATAAAAAGCAACGAAAGCTGAATTCATATACAGCTATGTCTAAAATTATACCTCAAAATGAATATACAGTGCAGCTGCACACATACAAGTTTTATTTCTGCTTGCTTACAGTCATCATATAGGCATCTGAGGAAATGTCCATGACCTAAAATAAACTCTTTTTTTATTTTCTTCTCAGTAAGTCTGTCATATTATTAAAAGCATATTTCATGCTCTGCTAAATATGACAGATTAAATTTACTAAACAATATGTTTATTTCTCAGTTCAACTTGATATAATTGGTGTCAGGAAATGAAACATGTGGTTTATAATCTTAGTTATGTTTTCTTCTTTGACTCTGAAATGGGTCACAGCACTGTTGGCTAATAAGGTTAAAGGTTATCAGCATTTACAATAACATCACATTCTGATGAACTTTCACCTTCCACAAACCAAAAGATTTGTAGAACTAAATAAGTGTCTAAAGTTGTGGAGAGATGATGTTTGCTTATGCAGACTGCTTCCTGTTCATTTGCACCTACCAATGAAGGGAGCTTGGCTTACGAGTGAGAAGTCAGGTAAAAATAAGACTACAACTGGCAACAAGTACTGAAAGATAAGCAGAGAGCAAATGGGTGCTGCAGTTTCAAATAAGCACCAAAGTCTGAAGCTACCACATGAATAATTAGCAGCCCCCCCTATACACGTGCTTGTGCACATGCATACACACCCACCAAACAACTAAAGCAAGAGATAAGCTCAGTCTTACTTGTCTCATTCTTGAACTTGCATTATTATTGTGGTTTAAGGAAAAGGATCTAAACAGAATGAAGGAGGAGTGTCAAAAATTGTAGTCTGATTTGTTAACAAATCCAATTCAAATGTCATATTATCTCCACCCATACCTACTTTTGATACTGATATGAGGCCTGTCTGCACTTCACAGAAAATTAGGAATTCCCCCATATAGTATTTGCCCTCCTATGTAAAACCTGAGTCCATACATGAACTACAAAGTCTGAACACTGTAACAAGAACATGATATAACAAACCAGGGCAATTGGTTCTGGGAGGCACTGAACTGAAAGCCTTTCTCAGGAGATAATATAATGAGTTCTGGTTCAATTAGTGCCTGTGCTAATACAAAACCAGAGAGTATATACAGGATATCAGATTCTCACAGGGGTGGGTATGAAGAGTTCCATCTTCTGGGATATAACACGTAGTCCACTGAAAATCAACCCACTTTCTACTTGCTTGACTTATTTTTCAATACTGAAGATGGAGACGACATGTTACTCTGAAAGGTCGGTTGATTTTCAATGGCCTACAAGACATTGTCCCAGACGATGGAACTATTCAGATTATTGTTTAAATTCCCAGAAATGGAAAGAATCACTAGCAGAGTTTTATTTCTTTGCAATGAAACCAGGTAAGTTTAGGTAAAGTTATCTCTGCGCTTAATTAAGCACCATGCCATGAAGACGTATGGGAGGGTGGAGATACAGATCCTCCATTCTTGACCTCGGCATTAGATGCACGTGAGTTGTCAGCGTCACGGCCCTGCAGCCTTACCCTTAGGGAAGATGCCCTTCGGTACCCATTGGATAGGAGGAAGGGCTGGCATTCCAAATTCTGTTGGTATAGTTACCCCCAAGTTCGCAGAAAGACCTGCAGGATTTTCCATGTGGTTAACTACGTGTAAAACTACATTCCGAACGTGTAAACATAAGACATAACTGGCCCCTTCAAGGCCGAAAGGGGGGGTGGGGTGGAGCTCAACCTCAGAACGTGCCCGGTTACCACACTGGTATTGATGATTTGGAAATAAGTTGGCACTAGCAAACAAACAAACTCCGTGGTTTTAGTCTGCAAGCGAAATATACTGGCCGAGAGACCGCCGCTTGTGGGCGAAATTAGTGCCAAGATGACACAAAACGACACGAAACAGAGCAGGTTGATTCAGCGATGTTGTTTCAACTTTTATTTAGAAGGCCTGCTTAACAGGTCACCTTGAGCGTTTTTTTTTTCGTGATCTTCCTCGGTGTCTCAAACGAATACAAAGACAGTACCTAGCAATAAATCACCATTGCGCCCTCCAGTCTTTACATGTTTACCTTGTTTTAATCTTCCCACCTCATTTACCTCTACATAACTTACGCAGCTGAAACAGCATCGTTACATAATCAAAAATCAACCAAACGGCAACGAATTCATGACGAGCCTATACTGACGTTCCCGCACCGATAAGCTCAGAACACACCCAGTACACTACAAATTGATATAAGACAATCCGTTAAATCTATTTACGCAGCCACGATCATCGCTAAGACACCCCTCCCGACTCCGTCCTGAGCGGTCACGAGACAGCATATGGGTCAAGGACGAAGGCTCCTACCATATACCACGTCATTTCTGGCAGTTTTCTACAGCCAGTAAAATACGTCAAAAAGGTGAACGAACAACGGCACATATATACACGTGCAGTGCACGCTTCGACTGT